GTAGAGGAATCTTTGCACTAAATACAGTAATTGTTTTTGAAAAAGAAAAGAAAATTGTTTTTGTTATTTTGTTTTCAACAGAGTAAATTTGTTTCTTTGACTACACGCAAAAGCAGAGAGTCCTTTGCTTCTTTTAGTAACTGCATCACCTATGTAACTAAAAGCTGAGACCTTCAAACTTGCCTCTCTTGTGTGTTGGCTCCTTCTTTGGTACAATTTTAATCCTTTTTTTATTCCTAATTAGTTGTATTATTACTAGCTAAATTTACAGTTAGCTGTTGTACTATTTAGATTTATTGATACAAATGTGATTTATATTTGTAATGTTACTCAGAGTTAATAACTGTTTAAATTAATATGATTTAGATTTTCAAAGATATGATTAGTTTGTTTGGTATTCAAAGGTCAAAGTTAGAAACTTTTCCTCTCGGAACTACTGGAAAAAGGTACAAATGTGAGGTCTTCTTTTTGTATCACACATAAATAATGTGTCCTTTCTTTAATCCATTACTGTGATATTTTCATCCAATTATTACGAAGCAGAAGATGGAAATTCTATTATAAAATTGTATACTTTTATGGAAATTCGATACATTATTCAATACAAAAAGTGAGTGGAAGAGACCAGCCAATATGGTTTTGAATTTGGGGCTGGACCTAAAAAACATTTATGTGAAAATGTTTTGAATCATTAGAAGCAAATAAATGAACCAGATTGTCTTTCTGATTACGATACAACTCTTAGTTCCCTTATAAAGAATGAATCGAATTTAAAGCTATGGACTTGATTAAAACTTGGAGAAAAAACAGAGAAAACTAAAAGATAAAAAGACTTGCAAAACCTGTTCCTGGCACTACCAAAAATTCCTACAAGTTGTTGGTCTGATCCTTATCAGAGAGATATTTATGTACATCACTCCCTCCTCGAGTTAATTCACTTGCGGTAATCTTCAAGTAGAAAGTTTTCAAAACCGGTACCTTTCAGTGTCGTTTGAACATCTTCCCAATTCTGTACGTGTTGCGAGAAAGGACCATGATGAATCTTCACTTGCTGACTCTTTAAATCGAGTTTCGGGACCTTTAAAAATTCTTGCACATCATCTAGTTTCTGCAAAAGGAAAAATGAAAAAGAAAACAGGGATTAAGAAGACAATGTGTGCAATGAAACTAGTTAGGAGAAGCCGTGTGAAACAAAATGTTCTTACGGTGCGATTCTTGACGACATCTTCGTAGTGGAGGAAAATATGGCGGGTGGTATTGAAGTAAGAAAGTGCTTTTGAAGTCATCTCTTGAACCTGCTTCAGATCAGCTATCAAAAGAATTGTGTTGATCAATGGCTTGTAGCATGCCAATATTTCAGCCTGAAACCCATTTGTTTCACATGTTTAGTTTCACAGAGACAATTGAGCAGACATATGCAAAGAGGGAGAGAGAAGGAAACCTCTTTAGGGGAATGGACGTGGGACTTGTGACTACCGTTCAATAGCTTAGCATTTCTGTCATAAGAGTTTGCAAGAACTGAAATCATCCTGCGCAAGAGGTTTCTTCTAAAGAGAAAATTAGCAGAGACGCCTCGGGTTTTGAAGTATTCTACTATCTCTTCATGATGTTTCATTAGACCCTGCATATGTTTCATCCCCAACCACATTAAACCAGATGAAACACAGAACAGAATACGAAAAAAATCATGTCAATTAAAAATCCTTCTAGAAACCAAAATATGAGAATTAACTAGATAAAGAAACACATTAAGTCTCTTGGAACTCGACTCGTCTTTTAAGGAGATCAAAAGCATAAGAAATCAATCAAAAACATTTCTCAAGGGACAGATACACAAACAGAAATCAATCAAAACCAGAACCTTATCCTTCGATAAAACCAATCCCTCAAAACAGTTTATAAGCATATACAATCACACCGCAGTTCTTCCCTAGAGCAAACAAGTCTCTTTCCTGAATCTAACACAAAAGATTGCAGCTCTAGAAACTGTAACCCAGTCCTAAACTTAAATCATACCAAGTGACAACAGCGGAGACCATCTCACAGTTTAGTATCAGTTCTAAGGACATATATCAACAAATCTATAAAAAATTCAGCATCTAAATTATATTGAAACAGAAAGCAAAACATTCAAACGGCTCGTTATCAGATATGGTAAACTTATCCAGTGCCCATGTGCAATAAACTTATCTTTATTGAAACACATGATTTTCAACATTTAGAAACTTACCTGATTAAGCATCCACTTCAAAGCAACAGCAGAAGTACACTCATTCTTGGAAGCACTACTCAACCAATCTCAATTATAGACTTTGTCCAATGTCCAAAAAATGGTCGACACATTAGCCCTCCTATCTTTAACAGAAAAGATCTCCCCGTTCGAGCTTATGTTAGTATGATTGTTAAGTAAAGTCTTGAACCAGCCACTACCAGATCTCTGCATCGAGAGAATCGCAATTTTCCTAACCGGATTGCACGAACATTCCTCCCTAACCAATTCCAAACACACAATCAACACATAAACATCGGATCCAAGAACCAAACAAAGATAATAATAATAAACACTCTCATTACCTGCTATAGGTCTTAGGCTTAGGATAATGGACATATGGTTGGTCCATGGTTCAATGTTAGGCTCAGGACACGGGCACTCAAACACTTCAACGTTCAAGAAACCAACACTAGGGACAAATGAATCAAATGTAAACAGCACAAACCATCACAAAGAAGAGAACGACCATTCTCAACACAAGTGGTGATTTTTTAGGAAGCTTGAAGACGAAACTATCCGGGAAAAAGAAAAACAAAACACACATTAATGTCGACATGTTAAGTGAGTTGTTTTTGCTTGTTTTAGAAACAAAATCAAGGGCAAAAAACAACATGGGTACCACAAAATTTGTCTGTAGAAAACCAAGAACACCTTTGAATTCCAAAAAGACTCGATTTTTTTACAGAATAGTTTAAGAAACCCATATCGAATCAAAACGAAATTCCTCAAAAATCAGCTACTGAAAACCCTAATCAGATTAACAAAGGAAAATCCTAAATACCCACAAAACAAAAAGGTACCTTTGGGATCAGAGAGTGTTCGTCGCCCATGGCTGCTTCGT